CCCCAAAACCCCAAAACCCCGATATATCTTAATTGATTAAAATAAGATAAATATAGATGTTAATAAAAAATCAATTTTTAATTTCTACGAAGTGATGAGTTTTGTAATTTTTAAACCTTTCAAAATCTGCTTCACTTAATCTAAAATTCAAAGTGATCTTAATTGGTAATACTCTTTTATTTAGTAATTCAAAAACCCAATCTAAGTCAATTTTCATTACTTATTATGAAATGCTTAAGCCTAATTGATCTACAGATCTTAAATCACTATTCAGATATTGAATACATCTTGAAAAAGAATTACTATTTATTGATTTTATGTTGCTCATTTAAAGATCTATAACCTACATATACTTTTTTTCTCTAAGAGAAACATCAAAAAATTAGTTTAATATTTAATCTTGAATCATATAAATGTCTAATCCAATTCTCTAAAGATTTTTGAATGTTTTAATAATTTAAAATATCTTATCATATTGATCTTGATTTTATTTCAAATTTTTAACTAGAAAGCCATTCATTTATCCTTATGTGATATCGAGATACCTTAAATTTATAGAGTTTTCCAATTTTTATATAATCTAAGAAATCTAAGTTATCTTTAATTTATTTCCTCTAAGATCTAAATGAGAGATTACATTCGGAAGTCTATTTAGTATATTGAACTATTTTACAAAGTCGAAACTATCAGCATCTTTGCTCATTCCAATGACATTGAAAACATCTTAAGATTTCTTAATTAGGGATACCTAAAATTAATTTTTACTCTAATTTGTGTATCTCTAGGTGATCTTAGTGACTTTTGAAAATATCTTGCTCATTGTTTGAATTAAATAAATCTAAAATTTCTAATCATGGCCTGTTAAATTCAAAAAAAGCTACCAAGTAGCACTATTTTCATATTCTTTTTTATCAATTTGATTAAGTTCCATACCAACTTATTCTTTTTAGCCTATTTTTTATCTCAAGAATATTGATAGTTCTAATTTCGATACTGTTTAAGAGATTTAAACCAATAATTTAGTCATAAGCCTATAATCTTGGCTATTATGTGTGATCTTAAGATTCAAGTAGTTGAGTTTATTCTTGCTTAGAAAAAGCATTAAAGTTTTGACATCAGATCTTGAGTCTATATTTTCTTCTATTAAGATTTCTAATTGCAAGCTCTCATATTTTTTAGGCATTATTGAGGTTATTAAGTCTGTCAAGTTTATCTTTTAGCAGTTGATGACCTTGAGATTGTGTACACTTGAATTAGCTAATAGATCATGAATTTGCTCTTGACTGTTGAATACACAATCTTAAAATGATAGAGTTTTAAGTCTTGGAGTAAGATTTCAAATTCGAAATACTTTTTCATTTTCATTTGTAACATTGAAGTAGCATCTGACAAAATTAAGTTCTGAAATTGAAGGTGGTAAGACAATTTATAGAATTTTTGATTGGATATTGGATGTAAACATCTGCTAATACATCCATAGAGTTAGCTATTAAACTCCATTGAATTAGCCAATTTTGTCTAAGATGTCTTAACTATAAGCATTTACTTCAATGTGTCTGGGACATAAAAATTCTTCTTTTAATTACTTCAAAGCTATTTATGTTGAATATTCATCCTGAAGCTTCATCAAGCTTAACTTGTTTAGACTTATTTTGTTCCTCATCAATAACTATGATAATTCTGGAATTTGCTAAGCCATCACTCCTGTGAAATCTAATTCTGAATAGAATTTGGAATTCTGAGCTAAAACCAATTCTGATGAAGCACAACTTAGATCTAGACTTCCTCGTTTTTATCTTCTATCGTAAATATTCTTGATTTCATTATAGTTTTTAATTAAG